TGTATCACATTTTTTCTCTATATAGTGGTGAATGTGTGTATATTTTCAATAGCAACATCCATTTCTGTTTAATGAACACACTACTGAAACTTATTCATTTATACTTATCTTTATTTTTTCACATGAATGTTACAGTTGTGTCATGACCTAATATAAGAATTATTCATTTAAAGTACTGACAGCAGGCAGTAGGATGAGGACAGTAATGGTCTCTTTATTTCACTGTGATTTCTTCCTACCTTTATGGGATAAAACATCTTCAGAGGATTACATACTATCCAGGTATGTTAAACATTTTCACATTTTCAACAAAAATATCTCTTTGTCAATATTCTCCTTCTCTCACACTTCAAAGATACACAAACACAAATTACACATGAGATTCCAAGCAGAAGTGAAGAAAGGTAATAGGACTCCTGGCATATATATTGTGTATCTCAGCATAGTTTCACACCAATTATAATTAATTATCCTTTCCAGAAAACAATTAGATCCACCTGGACAATCCCAGGAACAAGAAAGAGAGTAGAATCATCTTAGATCCCAAGCAACTTTTCAGGTACTAAGTCCTGGATAGTGACGTAGAAGGCACAAGGAGGGAAGGTGAGAGAGAGGCTGGACTATCAGCTGATGCTTCTCAGCATTACTGTTCTATCACCATGGCAACAATATACGTTTTCCATTCCCTGCCTTCACAATAATCATCAGTTGGATGCTATCCTTTTATTAATAAATTCTTCTTGGTTGGGTAGTTCTGAATTCCTGCTTTTCCTCTGGATACTTCTTTTGTCCCTACCAAAGTTATTCTTGATATTCATTTTAACCTGATCTCATCTGTGTATAACTATTATAAGGGTGAGTGTCATGCCTACAAGTACCATTCTCAAACTTCCACGGTCCATTAGAATCCTATTACTTTGGTCTTCAACTATTACAGAACTTTTTTTAAAGTCTTTTATATCTTCTGATTACTACATGCATTATGTATTTGGCATCTTAGACCATCCTCTTCTTAGACTGCCATGTGTCAATCTCAATTTGACTTAGAAAGCAAAAAAAAAAAATGCTTAATGAAACTGTGGAAATTAGAGGAATATTCTCCAATTTGTGCCAGCCTCGGATTAGGAGACTGTCTTCCATTTCCTAGTTCCCTCATGGGGCAATGTGATGAGCCAATCATACCCACATCCCCCCCCCCCACAATGAAGTAGAAACCTTTCCAAAATCCCTCCAAAGGAAGAAGAAAATATCAGTCCTCCCATAAATACTATATGGCATTTAGGTTAGGCAATTTAATAGCCTATAAACAAAGATTGTAAAGTATACTCCATTAAACATATATTGTTTCTCTAAAACAATAAAAAATGCACTTAAACAAAACAAAAGATACATTTTTCAATACTAGCATGAAGTGGTTTGAGCACAATACTGCAGTTTTTACCATGGCAGGACACACTAAGTTTAGAAGGACTTTATCATTAGGGCTGCTCCATCAATCCTTGTGATGATGCAAAGAAAAACTTATTTTTTTTTAATATGGGTAGTTCCTTTCTTTGCTGTACTCTTCCTTTAATTCCCAATTATGTAGGATTGACATCATATGAGATGTCCTATATATTGGATCAGATCATACGAGATGATATGTGTTAAGTACTTTGCCAACTTCCAAGCTCTATATGAGTGTTACATAATATTACCGTACTGTTAAAGTGAGATGCATTTAAACATTACAAACATATGATGCTGTATATTATTTTAAAATATCAAACTAGAATAAACACGCTGGTAGGCAACTTTTGTGGATTGACCAAAGTGAATAACAGGAAGAATTCTTTATGAAACACTCAAAAGCAAGCAGAAAGCATGCACAGAAAATTAACCCCAGTAGCAAACTTATATTTCCTTCTTTACATTTTGAAATTGTTTATCCTCAACAGCTGAATTCTTTGAAAAGTCTCAAATTCTGCTGTAAGTACATAAGATATTCATGAAGGGCTCTAATAAGATAGATAGATAGATAGATAGATAGATAGATAGATAGATAGATAGATAGATAGACATTGAAGGTAGCTTCATAGTTCTAATTATTCTATTAAGTTAGAACAATACCAATAAACATCTTTCACTCTAAGGAAAATTAGAGTGAGTCATTCAAGTTTATACAATAGTGCAGGTTTTGTAAGCTCTGCATCCACTCCACACATTAGAATCATGTTACTGCTGATAAAAATAGCCTCAAATGGCCACGTGACTCACTTTGAATAGCTTCAATACTTATTGCTGTCAGTGCCTCAATCAGCCCACGATCTTCAGTACTCTACAACTAGTGAGAAAATATAGTGAAAATGTTCTGTAGACAATACAGCAATTACAGATGAGGATATCTTCTTTACAATTTCTTCGCAAATTTTCAAATAAAAGCAATACACTATCACATAGAAATTCTATGCTACTGACAGAACATAGTGTTTTTAGCTTACTTTACACAAGATTTGAGCATACATTCAATGCCAAAATATATGATCAAAGTCAAATATTCTTAACTCATTACTCTTGAAGTCACATTTGATCTGGCCAATTGAAAATAAACATTTAATCCTCTGTCATTCAAAACATACTCAATGATTCTTATATGCTCATCTTTATCACTAATAATGGTAATCATAGAATTTAAAAAGAATGTTAAATCTCAATTTATATTTTCTTTCATGACATGGTTTTAAGTTGACTTGGACTCACTTAGCTGAAGTTCAGTAGGTATTTAATCAAGTCTTATTTATGAGAAAATACCACTTTTAAATGAAATGCGGATTTTGTCAAATGCACACACAGTTCACATGCACACACACCAATAAATGGTAACCACTCACCATGGACATAACAAACATTTTTTTTTATCCCTTTAAGAGCAAAGTTTCTATTTTCTCTGATTCTAATACATTGATGTAAGATCACTTGGGCAGAGCACAGCAATAAGAAATCATGAGGTCAGTATGAATTAAGGATTCGTCAGTCTAAGATAATAAGAAACCTCTCCCTTCTACTTAACTTTTTTTAAACTTAAATACTGACTATAATTTCTTCACCAAACCTCATTTTGATCTGGTGAAGAATCAACTGCAAAGAGACAATTTAAGTCATGCTAAAGACAAGTCATAGAGTTGAACTGCCAGTCTTTGTTGCTTTTATCATCCAAATAAAATCACATTTTTATTGTCTTAGCTATCAAAAGGAAAATATTTAATTTCAAAGTTGAAAAGGTTTTATTTATATTATTAATTAATATCTCACTTACATCACATTGGCTAATATTAAAGAGGTTTAGAGTTTATTGCTTTAGCATAATTAGTGTAATCAAATCATTAATTTTTCTAGGTTTCATTTTCATACCAATTTTGGATTCTCAATTTTAAAAATACTAGTTCAATCACTGTTGATCTTAATGAAATTATGTTTTATTGGGGGAGAGAAAGAAAGAAGATGATAAAACATTCCTTCCTTACTTTAATTCAAATGAAGGAGTAATCAAAAACTATTCAATCCACAGTTTTATATTTATTAGAAAGTTCTACGTAGATGTCACAAGAAGGATGAAAATCATGGCTTAATGCTAGGAAAAAAAGAACTATTTTGAGCCTTCCCTTAAAACTCCATTCAAAGCTAAGGACCAATTTCAAGTTTAGAAACTAGTACAGAATCTGAATCATGAAAGTAGATTACTCTTGAATATTTCACTACTAACCAGGATGTAAATGATATCAAAACATTGACTATCAAAGTGAATATTTGGTTATCATTACTATATAGAAATTTTATTGAAATTAACTGCTTAAATCTTTCCTAAATATTTAAAATATATATATATGAGTGATGATACTTAATATTCAGAACATTAATATCCACAATGATGTATAAGATTGATTAACATATATATGTACATATATATATACATATATGTATATATATAGTATTAGTTGCAAGTAACCCACAAAGTACAATAAATTAAAACTATTTATGGTTTATTTTATTCATAAATTAACCAATTAACAAAACAATTATGACACAAAATTTTCAAGGAAACTACCATCACCAGGGAATACATACTCACATATAATATATATATATATATATATATATATATATATATATACACACACACATACATGTTTCCAAATATTAAAATTATGCCGATCTTAATGTAAATCTGATTACAGCTTGAGCAATAAATATATGTATGTGTGTGTCTAATGAGTTGCATAATTAGCCAGAAGAAAATATATATATTGTGTTAGTTGAAGTTAATCATATCAAGGGGGATGTTAGTTGCCCACACCAGCTACTAGCAGACTGTAGACTAAAAGAACAGCCTTAACTGCTTGTGTATAAAGGCATGCCACCTTAGCAACACTAAGATGAAAGGGAGTCCCGTTCTTTAAGTTTTCACAAGGAGAAAGGCAGGTGCTAAGCAATAATAATAATTTTGTAATAATAATGTACACAGAATTGTGATCCTTAAGAATTACTAAAGTACTACTAATAAGCAGTACAAGATTGTTATTTCCATCATTGTGAGAGAAATATGCTCCAATGACTTTCCTCCCTCTAACTAAACAATCTCCTTCAGTCTCTCAGAATGCTTTTGTCTGTTGCTGCTCACACACCAAAATCAGAATAAATGCTGTTAATCATGGAAATATTTTTGTTACTTCTCTCCTTTTATTGATCATTTGAGTTTCATATATGTGTTTTTATTTCATAAACAAGTTGTTTATTCCCTGGGACAATCCCTCACAAGTTCTACAATCACAAATACTCCTGCTCAAACCAAATAAGTCTAAAAAGTCTTATGTTACACAGAAATCTATTTTCTGTGCAACATGTATTTTCTGGTAACCTAAGGACATCCCAAATTTTTCTTCCCCCCCCCCATGGTTTGTTGCCTCACCAATCCAAGCTTTTCATCTGCTTCATGCGTCCCTCCCCACCCCCCCATTACTTACCTGCTGCTCTCCAGGTCCCCCGGATTTCACCAGATGCTTATCCTTATATAGAGACCAGAGACCAATATTGGGCAGGAAAATTAAAGCTACCATAAATAATAAAGTCATTTGCAGAAATCTCTTCTGTTTCCTCTTCATGGCAAATGTTAAAAACGCCAGTATAGATGGGTGGAGGAAAGTGCAGGATCCCTGGCGGTTCCTGGTGAGCCAAGCCAGTGTCCTTTCCTCTCCTCTGCGATTAACCCCCAGACTGAGACAAGAGGCTAGAAACTTTTGTTGCAGTCTCAGCACCAATACACACCCCTCAGAGGGAACTGGCAATCTGCAGAACAAACGCACGGTCACTTTTCTCCCACTAAGGAGAAAAACCAAAAACAAACAAACAAACAAAAAAAAACCCACCCCAAAACTATGACGAATGAATTATCTATTGGCTCAGAAATGAGGATATCATTGAGGTCTATCGATCTCCATTAATATAAAACGAAGGGGTAAATATGATCAATTAGTAGTCTTATCAGAAATTATGGAGAAATCAATTGCTCGCCAAAATACTTTCTTGCAGAGAAAGGAGTTTTTGTATTACAGTGGGTAAAGGCGGAGAGAGGAGGAAGTCGCTGGAGAAGCAGTGCTGTCCCAAAGCCCTACTGCCCAGATTACTTTAGTAAGGAGGGCAACGCATGAAAGCTTCTCTAACTAGATGAGTTGTCCATCTTCGCTCTTCTTGAACATCAGAAGGAATGGCTGACTTGACATTCACTCGGACTCACCTCGCTCTCTCTCTCAACCCCCGTTAGCAGAGTCTGATTGAATCCGGGACTGCTGACTGAAGCCTAGGCATTTGCAAGGGATCTAGTGATGGGAAGCCGAAAGCCACTCTGAGGAAGAGGTCCGTGAATTCCTGGATTCCTCGGCACCGACAACTCGCCCGCCTGCCTCCTTCCCTCCCTCTCCGCCTACTGGGCACCCCGACACCCGCTCTCAGCAGCACCAGGAGAGCGAGAGAAAAGTGGAAGGGAGGCTACAGATGTCATCGCGGAATCCAGCCAGCGAATCAATGGGGCGACTTACCCTCCTCTTCACGTCGTCTTCCTCCTCCTCCTCTCCTCCTCCTCCTCCTCCTCCTCCTCCTCCTCCTCCTCCTCTTCTTCCTCCTCCTCCTCCTCTTTCTCCCAATGTTATTGTTCGCAAAGTAAAGGCTGCGCAGGTCAATCTCCCTTTCTCCAGCGCGGCTCTCACATTCAGTAACTATTCATGTTACCATGCTTCTCCCGAAACTATCATAGAGAAACCTACTGAGCGCAGCAACAGCAGCAGTAAGGACTATTCATTACTTCTCGCACCTTTTCCCTTATTCCCCAACGCCTTCATACCCTGCCACCTCCACAAAAAAATGCACGAAAGAAAAAAGGGAAAAGAAGGCTCTTTTAAACGAGAAAGGAGGACTTGGAAGATGCTAGAGAGTAAAGGAAGATGTGCTGTTCTCTCCTCCCCAACCTCCTCTTTCCCTCTCTCCCTGATGCTTCTTTTCAGCTGAGATGTCAGAGGGTGTCTAACACGTGCAAGAGCTCTAAGCCCTGGTGGGGAAGGGGGTGAAATGAGAAAAGGGAAAGGGGGGATGGGAAACTAGGATGCTATATAAACAAATCCAGAAGGGGAAGAGTAAAAAGAAAGCGAAGAAGGTACAGGAGTCTTCGGAGATCCTCATCACTAATCCCTGGATATGTCCCTGGATTTGCCGTCCTGGGTTCGCCTAGGTTACACTCCCGGGGGCAGGAGTAAGAACATCCACTCTGGTCCCCTAGTAGATAGGACTCCAGGCCAGAGGCAGCTGGGGAGGGGGGCTTCATTTGCTTCTACACTCTTCTTCCAAGGCTGGTCCATGGTGACAGCGTACAGCAAGCGTAGAGATCGAGGATCCTAGCCTGAGAGCGGCTGGAGGCGGCGGCGGTGGAGAGCACTGGTGCAGAAGCAGCAGCAGCAGCAGCAGCAGCAGCAGCAGCAGCAGCAGCAGCAGCAGCAGCGACGGAAAACCAACAAGCAGAAAAGGCTCTTGAAAGAACAGCCAGGTTTCTGGAGCTTTCCGCGCACTCCAAACCACATATATATATATATATGCTGTATTGAAGAAGGCGGGAGCGGGTGGGGGCGGGGGCGAAATAATCTGAAGAAAAAGCAGGGATGCTGCAAACAGCCTGGGAGGGGCAGGTAGGAGGACTCCTCAGCCTAGAGGAGCAGCTTCAGGGGCTACAGGCTCCAGGTTCTGAGAGGGGGGATGGGGGCGGCTCTGCCCCAGGCTGCAAACATCTGGATCCCTCTGTGATCTGGAGGGTGCTACTCCAGCCCTCCTTTCCCTTCTCCCCACCCCTCCAGCCTGCTCTTTCTATCTGCGTTCTGCTGCTGTTCTCACTCCCAACAATCCTGGTCTTCCCTCCTCCCTTCCACTTTTCCTTGATCCACACCCCCCATCTTACCCTCCCCCCCCAGCCCCCCAGGAAAGTTTCTGAATCGCAAAGATTCATGGTCAGAATGGATCCCTCTTTCTCTACTCCCTATCCCAAGGAACGATACACTTTTGCAATGACTCAGCCTCCGGGTTAGAAGATTAAGGTGCAAGCCAGGCCAGTGATGGGGTTTACAAGTATCCGATAAGGTTGCGATAGACAAGATTCTATGTTCTGAGAATCCTAAAAGGATGGGAGTTGGCAGCATTCCAGCACAGATCCTCACAAGATCAAGATGAGAATTGCCTAGGGACCTTTGGACCAAACTTGGAAGGAGCTTGGGGAGACAAGACTGGGACAGCAGATGTGTTATTATCAGGAAAATCCGATGATTAGTGTAGAGAAATAGCCTTTATTTTCTACATCACTATGAAAAATGAAACAGAACAGTTATAAAAGTGAATGAAAAGTAGGCTACATAAACTGCTTATTCTTTCTTATGTTTGATACTTTTTGGGATTATCCATTCAACATGTGTGGATGATTTTTTCTTTTAAATCACCTCACATGTAACACAATCTTCCAGAAAAAAAATTGAAAAATAAACCATATTTATGAACTTGTGTCCTTCTTTGTAAAATGATTGAAAACAAGGGTCTTTAGAAAATCAAAACCTCAGAAACCAGAAAGAACGGGATAACTTTTCTTTCTCCATCCAATTCATATGGACTTTACATTATTTCTTGGACTTCTGTTTATCTCTTGGAAAGCTGAACACTGACAGAGAACAGTATGAATTCTAAGAAGTAGCACGAAGGAAGGCATGTGCCCATTACTGGCTGGTTTCTTGAACAAAAGACTCTGGAAAAATTAAAGTGTATTAAAGATAAGTACACATTTGTCTTTATATACACATACACAGATAGCTGCTTTTATTAAGACTTTGAGAAAGAAAATATCTCAAGAGAAAACAACTAAAGGAGGAAAAATATTAAAAGCTTTCTTCCTTGAACTACATCACTTTCTTCAGCCTGGAAGTAATTCCCAAGCCTAATTTTCTTCTTTCTGTCTGTTAATATAATTTCATTTTGGTGCTAATCTTCACCCTCTTTCTTTCTTTCTATTTGGGCTTCCTTGGCCTTCCTTGGGCTTCCTCTTGTCTAATCCTTTTCCTATACGTATAACAATAACTTTCTGTGCTGTTTTTGATTGGCACAATCTTCCTACATCAAAATTAAGTAGTATATCAAAGTACTCCTAACTAATTTGAATGTTCATTTGTAAACTTCAAGGGCGACTTTCTTTGGTTTTCCAAATAATTTAGGGCAAAACACACGCATATATGAAAGGGAGGAAAGGAGAAAGGTGGAAGAGGCTAGTATAAAATTTCCCCTTTGACTGTGGACATTTATTTAATTGAAAATTTGTTGTATTTTGATTATATCCTTGGATATATCATATGATAGCCACCAAAAGCTGGAGATGTCTTTGAAGACTTCATGACAAGGTAGAACTGAATCAAGTGGGACTCTAGAATGGATAGGATTTGGATGACTGAAGAGATAGTAAGACTGTTTCTGGTGGGCAGAGTAAGCAACTGAGGTTGAGGTCAAAGAACAGTGAATTTGGAGGCATTAAAAACTGGGTTTCAATCTTACCTTTGACAATGACTTGCATTGTACAGTGGGTAAGTAGCTTAACTTCTATGAGATTCAGTTTCTTTACTCTAAGTCAATCCAGCATATCTTTATTGAGCACTTACTACCAGTGTGACTTTGGGTAAGTAATTTAACTTGGCCTTGGAGATACAGTGATACAAACAAAACAGTCCCTTCCTTCAAGGAGCTTAGGAGGTAGCACACAAATGAAGACAACTATATTATCCTCTATAAGGAGGATAAGCTCTCAAGAAGCTTAGGTGGTATTAACAAATGAATACAAGAATATTATTCTCAGGAGGTAGCTAAGTGGCACAGTAGATAGAGCACTGGGTCTGGAGTCAGGAAGATTTGAGTTTAAATCTGACCTCAGACACTTACTAGTTATGTGGGCAAGTCACTAAATTGCCAACTGCCTCAGTTAACTCATCTCTAAAATGGGAATAATAAGAACATTCACCTCACAAGTTTGTTGTGAGGATCAAATAACATACTTGTCAAGCACATGGCACACAGTAGGTACTTGATAAATGTTCATTCCATCTCCCTTTAAAATGAATGTCATAATACTTCCACTATCTATCTCACAAGGGTTGATGCCAGGAAAGTATCTTGAAAGTCACAGGGTATATTTTAATCTACAATATTATGCTCATGGGCAAAGACACATTGGTAAGAAGCCTTTAGGTATATTTTCAGTATATCAGATCAAGCAAGCAACGAGTCCCAGACAAAGATTACGGTAGCCTCAACAATAAAGTATGGCCAAACTCTACTTAAAGTTCTGAAGCTCTATTCTATTATTATTTGACTATTCACCCACTGAAAACACTGAGTAGCATAAAACTAGTTTCTTCTATAATAGTATGACAAGAAGGTATGCCTTTAAAAGACACATAGCATGAGATAGGTAGCGGGTGGAGCAAGATTACAAAGGGCCTTGGGAATCTTGAACTGCTTTTATCATTGTATGATTTTATTTCTTCACTGAACAAAATTTATTAAAACATCACGTGCAAGGTGCCACATCTAACTAAGTGACTAGTGCTATCAATACTTTCTTACCTGAAGAAAAGGCTAATCCATATAACTCCCACCAATCATGCTTCTGTTTTTTTTCTTATTAAAAAATCTTAGTCTATACATAGACACTAATTATAAAAACTGCAGAGCACATGTTATTAAAATATCAAGGATATATAACAGATCAAGATTTACAAGGTTTTTCAAAAGCCATCCCCTTGATACAGGCCTTTTATTTTATAAATAGAAGGAGATTGAGGCCCAGAGACACGATGGATAGAAATTGTCAGAGCAGGATTTGATTCCAGGCCTTCTGATTGAAGATTTGGGATGCTTATCTACCATAGCCCACTGCCTCATCAAGTTTTTTAAAAAAGGAAAAAATCAGAACTAATTAGATTTACAGCAATTCCAATAGATGTAAAAAAAGCTTTTGACAACATGTAACACCTGTTCCTATTAAAAACAGTAGGGGGCATAGGAATCAATAGAGTTTTCCTTAAAATGATACGTAGCATCTATCTAAAACAATCAGCAAACATTATATGTAATGGGTATAAGCTAGAAGCATTTCCAGTAAGATCAGAGGTGAAACAAGGATGTCCATTGTCACCACTTCTATTAAATATTGTACCAGAAATGTTAGCTTTAGCAATCAGAGAAGAAAAAGAAATGGAAGGAAATAGAATAAGCAATGCAAAGCAAAACTATTACTCTTTGCAAATGATATGATAGTATACTTAGAGAATCCTAGAGAATTAACTAAAAAACTACTTGAAATAATTAACTTTAGCAAAGTTGCAGTATATAAAATAAATCCAAATAAATCATCCGCATTTCCATGTATGACTAATAAAGCTCAACAGCAAGAATTAGAAAGAGAAAATTCATTTGAAGTAACTAGACAATATAAAATATTTGGGAGTCTACTTGCCAAGATAAACTATATGAATACA